GTTCTCCAAATTACCTGGAATGTGTATGTCCAGAGAGTGCTCAGTCTACACTGTTAGTCTTTCTTAGAGGAAAGTCAATTGGGAAAGCTATGAAGGCACACATGATTCTCATAACAGAATACAGCTGATATATAACAAGCCAAGTAACACCAAAAACTCCTTGGGATTTGGCTTCCTCTGGAGGAATTCCATGATCCCTCCAGGTAGTGACTTTGCCATAACCAGCTGAGTTCTTATGATATATTCCTGCGGCCCACAACACTCCCCCTCTCCACATCTTTCTGTGATGATGGACATGTGCTCTGGACAATGACCACCTGAATAAGGAAGAAGGGGTTGTGTTCACACCAACCTTTATTCCAGAGAGCCCTGCACCCACCACTCCTAGCCCTTCGGATGCCACATCTTTCCTGTCCCTGAGCTCCTGTATGCTGGGCTTTCCCATTCTAACCTCCCGCCCGCCCGCCCGCCTCTGCTGGGTCTACTATGTCACAGTGAGGGTGGGGTCTCGAAGCGCCGCTGTGGCCCTTCGCCCTTCCGATTACTGCGGTTCCTGCCTGGGTGCCCAGGACATGGTCTGAGTATGTGTCTTGCCCTGGTCCAGTCCAGTCTAGCTTCCAGCTTCAACTGCCGGCAGAGCTTCCAGGCTGGTGTACTGCGCGAGGCTGCCTGTGAGGAGCGGTACGCGGCCGGACCCCTGTTCCAGAAGGCCAGCGCTGTGCACACACTGGTGTTCTCCTCCCTCACACTGCTGCGCGTGGTAGCCCAGGACCCAGCCACCACAGGTGACTCCACCCTTTCCAGGCGGCTGTCACCCTGGCCACGGTGGGAAGGGGGATGTGAAGACCGGCGGAGTGCCCACATGGGCCTTCCCTGCCTGTATATCCCTGAGCTGCCCCAGAAGTGGCCACTGTCAAGAGCTAGCCTCTTCCAGATGTTTCTCTGGGCTCTCTGCTGGCTCAGGGCACTGGCTCGTTCTTATCTCTTCTCTGAATTGTCTTCAGATGGAATCGCCTGGTGTGAGCTTTTGCAGGACAATTTGCTTTAAATTCAGCAACTCTTTTAGTCTGTCTATTTTTTTGGGCAAATTGACTCAGGATTCCTGATTTTCCAGAAAGTTCTTGCTAATATGAAACTTCCGGTGATGTGCCTTTCTGTGACAGCAGTACATGGAAAGAATTGATAAGGCCTATGTCTGGGCAAAGAGAAATGTTTTTGTTCTTGTTTTTTTTTTTTTTTTTTTTTTTTTTTTTTTTTTTTTTTTTTTTTGTCCTTTTAGGACCAATTATTCCTCTGAATAAGGAAATATTGATATTATATTTTAAAATTTTTACAATTGATTATTATTTTTTACCCTTTATTTTTATTTTATGTGTATGGGTGTTTTGCCTGCTTGTCTGTGCACCACGTGTGTGTGGTGCCCATGGAGATCAGAAGAGGGCATCGGCTCTCCTGGGATTGGAGTTACAGATGTCTGTGAACCACCAAGTGGGTGCTGGGAATTGAACCTGGGTCCTCTGAAAGAGCAGCCAGTGTCTTAACCACTGGGCCATCTCTCCAGCCCCAATAACAATATTTTTATTATCACTTTTTTGTTGTTTTTGATTTTTTGAGATAGAGTCTCATGTAGCCCAGGCTATCCTTGAACTCACTGTGTAGCAGGAGATGGCCTTGAACTCCCGGGGATTGCAGGCATGTGCCACCATGCTTGGCTGTTGTCTTTGTTCTCAGGACAGGGTCTTGTTACAAGGCCTCGGTTGGCCCCAAATTCTCCATCTTTCTGTGAATTCTATCCCCTTATTTTTCCTTTTTCCTATGCTAAGGATTGAACCCAGGGCCTTGAGAGCTAAGCAAGTGCTCTACCATTGAACCACACCCCCACCTCTGCTACAGTTAATCCTTTTTGAAAAACACCTTAACCGAGGGTCTGGACAGATGGCTTGTTAGGTAAGATGCTGCCATGAAGGCGTGAGCAAGGGAGTTCAGATCCCCAGAAACTGCATGAAAAGCTGGTGGGGCCGGGAGATGCTCAGTGATTAAGATGCACCGTTCTGGCCGAGGATCTGAGTCTGGGTCCCAGCACCCATGTTGGGTGGCACACAGCCACCTGTAACTCCAGCTCCAGGGGATCTGACGCCCTCTTCTGCCCCCTGACGGTACTGCTTACACACCCCAGCACTCGGGAGGCAAAGGCAGGAGGATCTCTGAGTTCAAGTTCATATAGCGTGAGTCCAGGACAGCCAAGGCCACACAGAGAAAACCTGTCCTGGAAAAAAAATGCACATACCCACACATAGGCAAATACAGGTTATTAAGGATAAAAATAAATCTAAAAAAAAAAAGCTGGGTGGGCATAGTATCTCACCTGTAACTCAGTGCACAGGATTACAGCCAAGGGGGGTAAAATGTCTGGCTAGACTAGCCAAATTGGCAAGTTTTGGGTTCAAATGAGTGTTCCTGCTTCAATATATGTTAGAGAGCAATAAAAAAAAAATCCGAATCTTGGATTCACATGAGCATATATGCATGCATACCAACACACATATGTACCCACATATATGTGAACATGCATGCACATACCACATACACACATACACATATAAAAACCACCTTTCTTGAGATGCTAGCCACCTGTTTGTTTGTTTGTTTGTTTATTTTGACATGGTTTCTTTGTGAGGTTTTAGAGCCTGTCCTGGATCTTGCTTTGTAGACCAGGCTGGCCTCAAATTCACAGAGATCCACCTGGCTCTGCCTCCTGAGTGCTGGGATTAAAAGCGTGAGCCACCACTGCCTGGCACTAGCCAGCTATTTAAAGTGTCCAGTCGAGCTGGGTGTGGTGGATCCCACTAGCTCTGAAGAAGCTGAGGCAGGAAGATTGGTGAGAATCTGATCCAGTATTGGTTCTGGCTTATCCAGAGGTGCACGCCCATCATGGTGATCACTTTGAGTGCAGCATCCCCCAAGGCAACCCTACTTGTTACCTGTCAGCCCACTGTGCAGCATGGATCTGGCCTCCATTCCTTGTCTGTGCTGAATAGGACCTCATTGTCAGAGACATGTGACCTCAGCCATGGGCTTCTCTGCCCCAGTTCCTCAGCTGTGAATGTTTGTCTGTACTGATTCTTTCCTACAAGGGGTTAAGGAAATGTCAGCATCCTTTAGCTAAGGACCTGTGAGTGGTATTTATGAATGATATCCATGCTTCTCCTCCCCTATCCCACTCTCTTAGAGTCTGAATTCCCCAAGAACACAAGTCAGAAGCCAGGCTTTAACCCTTCTTCAGATTCAGAGCCTGGCTTGGTCTCTCTGGCCGCCTTCACCATCTTTCCCTAGTGGTTGTCATGGAGATGAAATGGTCTGGACTCCAGCTTTGACACAGGGTCCTCCTAAGGTACAAGTGTGACTCTGTTCTTGCACCAGGCACCTGGTTCTGGGGATAGAGTTATGACATGGCCAGCTTGTTCCTGTCACCCTAAAGTTAACACTTCCCACAGAGAGGGGCATCATGGACAAAAACACATACAGACAAGGTAGCTTTGTTTTGTTTTTGGAAAGAGTCTCATGTAGTCCAGGTTGACCTCAAACTTGCTATGTAGCTGAAGATGACTTTGAACTTTTGTTCTGATGCTTTTCCCTCCTAAGTGCTGGGATTACAGATGTGTGCCACCATGTCTGGTTTATTCTGTGTCAGTGTATTGAACCCAGGACTTGGTGCATACTAGGCAAGCAGTTCCCAAACTGAGCCACATCCCCAGGCCTCTCAGAGAACTCACTTTCACTGTGCATTGTTGGGAATAGAACCCAGTGTTCTCCATCTGACAGATGGGTGCCTAGGTTACTTCCTGTCTTTGCTGTTAACGTTGCACGTCCCCCGACCTGCTGACCTGCCCATGCCCTGGGAACAGACACCTAGGTCTTTGCTATGACTTCATACTTGCCTCTCTAACCTTGTGCCCAGAGCATGTGGAAGGACTCGTTTGCAGAATCTGAGGGACAGCTCTAGGGCCTCTGACTCTAACAGCCTTGCCATCTCAGATACAGACTACAAAGACGTGAGTCCCAGCAGCCTGCAGTACGAATGGGAGGAGACACCGTCCCCAGCCACAGTGGCCACGGCAGCTGCATTAGTGAGGAGGCTGTGTGTGGCTCAGCCTACCAGCTTTGAGGTAAGTTTTTCCAGCCCCAGGCCAGACTCTGCCCTGAGCCTGAGTACCTCCCCATACTCTCCCCTTCTTGCCCAGCTTCACCAACACACCCAAACATTTGCTCTGTGCTTAGGCCAGAAGCTCAGGACCTCATCCATGCTACCTACTTCCACCTTCAGGGAAATTCTTATCTGTGCCCATTTTGCAGGTGGGGAAACTGGGTTTGCAGAGCTTAGGGACTATACTCCAAGCTGCCTAGCCAGGAAGTAGCAGAGCTGGGCATTTCACCCAGGCGGTCTGTTCCCACAGCAAGGCCTCTCACCCTGAGCGTTATTTGCTGTGGGGGAAGGGTGCCCTGTTCATTGTGGTGTACAGAAGAAGCACTCCTGGTCTCCACCAGCTGGATGCCAACATCTTCCCTGCCTGTCGTCATGACAACCAGATTGCTGTCTCTTGGGCGCACAGTTGTCCAAGCTGAGAACTACTACACTTTTCTCATCATCTCACTGCCCAGCTCCAGGATGGGAACCGTGGGAAGCCATGGGACAGACCTGCTTCTCCTCTCCAGCCCCAGGGCACTTCTGGACCCCAGACTGTCCATTTCCCTTGGTCCCATGACTCAGGGCAAGGTGCTCTATGGGGCCTGGGTCTCCCTGAGGCAGCAAGTCATGCCTGTATCAGAGGGCCCCCATCTTCCCTAGGAGGTCCCTTGGGCCAAAAGATAAATTGTTAGGCCTTCAGGGACACACTAGCCCACATCCATCAGATCCCCAGCTCCCCCCCACCCCCCGCACCCTGGGGAGGACCAAGCCCGGCCTGGGTTGCCAGGAGACCACAGTGTCTCACCTCCTTCCTAAGGCCAGTGGCCCCAGACAAGGTTTGTTTTCAGTCCTGAAACAAAGCCAGGACTTGGTGCCCCATAGAGAGCAAACTCCCAGCGTGGCCCTCTCTGGGGGGCGGGTGTTGGTGATGTGGGGGGCAACGGTGGGAACGGGCTAGCCAGAGCTTTCACCCGGGAGCCAGGGGAGGGGAATGTGCCTGCCAGGGTGGCTGAGAGAGGAGCAGGGTGCACGTGTTCTGAAAGAAAACTCAAGCTGTGCACATTTATTAAATGCTGGCTGTAGAGCCAAGTGGGTTTTTTGTTTGTTTTTCTTTTCTTTCTCCTTTTTGGTGGGGCTAGGAACAGAACCCAGGATCTCACATATGCTAGGTAAGCACTCCAACACAGATTTACATCTCAGCCAAATGCCCCAGAGACTGGGTTACATAGTATGGGCTTATTTTTATGCTAGTGGTGGCTGTGGATAGTTAGGTGTCCCTAAGTCCTGCAGCCAGGCGTCAGAGAGGGAGAAGCAGGCCCAGGATTCCGAGGTCTCCAGATGGCATGGTGGGGTGACAGAGAGGCCTCTTGGTTGCTGGAGTTGGGGCCAGCTTCAGGGGCGCAGTCAATCTGCTGCCCGGGTGATGAGAAGGCCCATCCCAGGAAGGCTCCCTGCATGCTGGGGGGGACACGTTGGCCTCAAGGAGGCTGCTTTACACTCTGCAACTTTCTTTTTCTATGTTTTTGAGACAGGGCCTCGTTCTGTAGCCCAGGATGTCTGGAGCTTGTGATGACCCCTGTTTGTGCTTCCCTACGAACTACAGCATGTGCCACCATGCTGGGTACATCCTGTGTTGTTCTGAGACCAAGCTGGTCTCGGCCATGCACAGGGGGTGGCATGTCCCTGCCTTGGGCAGGCTCAGTCCTGAACAGGCAGCAGGAGTGGGTCTAGTGCAGCTCCTCTGGGCTTAGGGTGCGGCAGGGACCTGGGACTAAAGGGAGGCGGAGATGGGAGGCGCGAAGTCAGTTTCCCCAAACCAAGCAGCCTAGGCATCAGGCTGTGCTTCGAAGGCAGCCCTCTGTCTGGTGGAGTGTTTGGACGCTCCCTGACTGGCCCTCCAGTGAGGACTGGAAACTCTGACCTCGCTTTCTTTCCTGCCATCCCTGCTGACGGTCACTTTCCAACAGGAAAGGCTCAAGGGCTGCAGACATAGCAGGTAGATGGCTTGTCTTGTATGCACAAGGCCCGTGTTCCATCCTCAGCACCACAGACCAAAGTCCACAAACCACAGCAGGCAACAAAAACCTGTGTGCCGGGAAGGCGGCGCGGAGGTGCTCCTGAGAGGCTGAGGGTTGCTTGAGGCCAGCCAGGGCTAAAGAGTGAGGCCGAATCCAAGCAAACAAAGTAACAGCAGGGCATGATGGCACAGGCCTTCCATTTTAATGCAGAGGCAGGTGGATCTCTGAATTCAAGGTCAGCCTTGTCTATCTGTATAGGAATTCCAGGCCAGATGATGCTACATAGTGAGACCTTGTCTCAAAAAAACTAAAAACTAAAAACAAACAAATAATATAATAACATCTACAAATTGGAGATTATTCCTTAGTAAATATTCAAACTCGCTTTTTTTTTTTTTTTTGTGGCCATCGCTGGATCGCAGCTGCGATCGGTGACTTCCGACTGCGGCAGGAACCACAAATGGCATTTCAATACCTCTTCTCACACTTGGAGGAAGATCATGTCTTCCCCTCTTTCCGCAGGGTGGAGACAGAAGTATAATGATTGATCTATGCCCATTCGAAAGGATGACAAAGTTCAGGTTGTCTGAGGACACCCCAAAGGCTAGCAGATTAGCAAAGTGGTCCAGGTGTACAGAAGGAAATACGTCATTCACATTGAATGAGAGCAGTGAGAAAAGGATAATGACGGAACTGTCCGTGTGGGCATCCACCCCAGCAATGGGGTTATCACCAGGCTAAAGCTGGATAAAGTCTGGAAAACAATCCTGGAAAGGAGATGGGCGAATACAGGGTGGAAGATTGAATCTCACACACAACTTTCATTCAGAACTGCTTAGGTCAAAAAGAAAAAAAGTTCAAGCTAAGATTCACCAGGGAGCTAAGGATGTAAATACGTCTTTCCTGGCTTGCACGGAACTCCAGCGCTAGGTAGATGGGATGTGGTGGTGGGTGCCTGCTGTCCCAGCACTCAGGAGACAAAGTCAGGGCTATTGAGGTCATCCTCGGCTACTTAAGACTTGGTCTCAAAAAAAACAAAACAAAACCCCAAACAAACCAAATCAAAACAACCACCACAAAAACAAGGACTGCAAACGCTCAGTGCTGACCATGCAGGCCTGGGACCTACATACAATCCATGGAGCCCGTGTGAAGTAGGAGAGAACCAGTTCCACACAGCTGCTCTCTGACCTCCACGGTGCACTGTGTCCCATGTGCAGATTCCACGGCACATTTTTCTTTCGGTTCTGACACTGAGTCTGTGGGCCAGGCTGGCCTTAACCTCGTGGCAGTCTTCCCTCCTCAGCCTCCCGAGCTCTGGGATGGCAGTGTGCACTGTCTTCCACCATCACCATCCTAGTGTGGGATGCGGATCTGATTTGTTGATGGAGTACATGCAGCTACTGTGTGTTTTCCGGACGGGAAGCTGGATGTGTGGCCTCACCATCCAGCTGTCTCTGCCTGGGAGTGGAGGCTGGGCTCCTGGCTGGGCTAGGTGACCATGGGGTTCCCTTTGACATCCCGCCCCCTCTGCACCCCAGGCCACAGAGACATTCCTGATGCTGGTGTCTGAGCTCCAAGGCCTTTCTGTGGATGAGCTGATTGCAGTCTGGCGCCATTCACCTTTTAAATGCCATGATGACCGGTAAGGGCATCACTCTGGGTGTAGGCTGAACCACAGGTAGGCTGCCTTTGGGGATTCCTTGGTGGGTTGGGTGGCCCTGGTGCTCTCTGGGGTCCTCAGATAGGGTGTGACTCCAGCCTGCCTGTGTGGGGTCTGGAAATTCCCCCGAGACTTGAGCTTTTGTGGGGCTGAGATTGAAGGCTGCGGCTGGCAGATGAAGATGGAGTTGTTCCCCCTGGTACAGTGTCTGTACGAACTCAGGGATTAGCAAGGGAAGCCCCTTGGGTCCCCTCTTGTGGAGGCTTCCCAGGTGTCCAGTATGGGTGCTGCAGGCTGGAATCCCACCTCAACCTCATTCCCACCCTCAGAGCTGGGGTCAGCAAAGGGCGTCGGGGACCCAGGGGTCTCTCTGAGGACCTCACTCCAGGGACTCCAGGCTGGGTCACCTCAGGGAAGCTCCCCGCCCTTCATAAAATGACCACATAACATGAGAAGGAGCACATGACTTTTATGGCCCCTGTTGATACTGATTCACTGAGCCCTCAAAGTACCCCATGGCAAGTGCTGCTGTATTTCTATTCTTTGGATTTGTAAATTGAGGCACAGAACATTTAGGACACTTGCCTGAAGTCACACAGCAGAGGAGGGTTATTTGTTTTACTGTTTAGCTCAGCCGGCCTGGATCTTACAGCAATCCTCCTGTCTCGTTCTCCTAAATGCTGAGATTACAGGCCTGTGCCACCATGCCAGCCTTAGGATGGAGACTTGAACCTAGACGCTGTACTGCTTCCCATCACTATCCTCACGGGCATTGTTCATATGTCTACCTGAATCTCTGGGTCAGGATGGTGGGGAGGCCTCTCTCAGGTATATATGTTTCAAGAGGGCAGATGCTCTCTTGAGTATTTGTTGCCCTTGCCCCTACCCCAGGCTAGCCCCACAGATGAACAAGGAAAATGGTTTGGAGGATGGCCCTCAGCCCACAGCATGTCTCCCTGGGGAATTACTGCAGCCCTGGAGCAAGTCTTTGTCACCACATCCCATCTCCCAGTTGAGCAAGCTGAGACTCACCCACAGAGTGGATGGTGTGGAGAATGTTGGGGGCACTGCTGTCTCCACCTGTGCACCCTACAGTCTCCTGCAGCTCCGAGCCCATGGGTGATGGCTATGACCTGAGAAGCCCTCCATCCAGTCATTGTTCCCACTCCAGACACTGCCACCCCCATACAAGAGGACACCTCAACATCTTTCTGGAGACTTCTAACCTTTTTTCAGTCTTAATACAAGTAGATAAGGAAAATAAATCCTTTGCTTATAATAAATAAATAAACCCCTTATCCAGGCTTATAATCTCAGCTACATAGGAGGCTGAGGCAGGAGGATCATGAATCTAAGGCTGGCCTGGGTACAGAGTGAGTTCAAGGTCAGCCTAAACAATTTAGTGAGATTCTGTCTCAAAATGAAAAATCAAAACAATGCAGGGCCCAGGAGAGCGCTTATCTAGTGTGTGAGGCCCTGGGCTCCGTTCCCAGCTCTATGAAATAAGAGAATAAAATCAGTCAAGCCACCCATTGCTTGGTGTTGGGCTGAAAGCATTAGATGCTTAAATTGGAAAGCACTGGCCACCCAGGGCCTCATCATCCCCTTGGTGGGTCCTGGCAGAGGGTGAACAAGGCTTTACATTTGCCAGCTGGGCATAGCAAAAAGAACACAGGCCCAGCATGGCTCCTTCCTCAGAGAGTCTGGGTCTGTCCCTCCCTTGTCCCCAGCCTTGGCTTGTCCCCATGTGACCAAAGGCTGCAGTAAGATCAGTGACAGAGCTCTGCTCTCTGCAGGCATCCACTGGTAGACGCTCTGCCTTCCTGTGGCACCCAGAACTGTGTGGGCCTCATGAAACAGCTCATCTTGGCGAGGGAGGTGGAGGCAGACCAGGCTGAGGCATGGCTGTGGTCGCTGGCCTTCATCCCAAAGCCCACAGATGCCATGGTGCTTACACTGTTGGTGAGTCCTCCATCGCCCCCCCCCCCAGCCCTGACGTCCCTCCTTGGCTGGGTTGCTGGACACATGAGGGTGATCTGTTCCCGCCCTGGAATTATGTTTTCCCTTCGTGGCCCAGGGATGCAGCTGAAACATGGTGCTATATTCAAGGCAGGGTTTACTAACACAGCTCTGGTTTTCATATGAAGGGAGCAGAGTTTGGTTTATATCCCAGGCTGGCCTGCAACTTGTTATGGAGCCCAGGCTACTGGCAAACTATGCATCATCCTGCCTCTGCTTCCCAAGTGCTGGAACTAGGTGTGTGCCACCATACCAGTGAGACCTGTTGTGTGATGTGGAGCAGAGACTCAACCCCTCTGGACCTTTCTAAAAAAATGTGCACATGGATGCATGTTGTTGGCATGCGTGCAGGTGTGGGTTTGCATGTGTGCGGGTGCATGTTCGCAGAGGCAGCCCAGAACTCACTGGTGCAGGCTAGTCTCGATAGCCAGCTTGCTCTGAGGGTCCTGTCTCTTCCTTCCGAGTGCCGCAATGATAGGAGGATCGCCATTCCATCATTGTTCATGTGGGGCTGTCTCTGAGCCGTCCCCTTAGCCTGCTGAGATTGGCTTTGGTATGGGAACTGAGGAGGGATCTAGTTCTTTTGATTTAGGTTTGTGGTGAGAAATGACATGATGTGTGTAAAGCAATTCTAAGGGCCCCTGTAGAGCTGGAGAGATAGCTTAGTTATTAGGAGCACACTCATGCACATATACTTTTATATACACTAATACACATTCACATACACACACTGCACACATTCACATATAGATATACATATACCAATATTCACACATACATTTACACATACAAATTTCATATACACATCCTCTCTCTTTTACCTGTATACACACACATACATACACACATACATGCATAAATATAAATGCTGAAATTTGAAAACTCCTGCTGGTAGAGAGGTTGGTGGGCCCTCCCTGTGAACACCTCATACCTTGCATGCTCTGTGGACCAGTGGGCAGTCTTGCATCCACAGCAGAATGGTGCCCACCACACTCTTTCTCCACTCTGCCAGCACTGGGTGTCTCAGGCTAACATTTACACCCAGGGCCCCAGGACCTGTTCCTTTTTTTTTCCAGGACTGAGCCCAGAGCTGTTTTGAAAAGCAGCAAGAGCTGAGTGTGGCAGCCCAACCCCAGGGTTAAGGCAGGGCTCCATCACCTACAGGCTGGGCAGTGTGAGGCAGGTCCTTGGCCTCTCTGAGAGGCTTCCCCAGCGGCAAACAGAATTGATGAGAGAGTGTGTGGGAGACAGGTATGGCAGAAGAGGCTGGTGTGCAGTGAGCGCAGGGCGTGAGCTGGAGACTGGCCGTGTGTGCTGGAAGGCACACTCGGTGTGTGCTGGAAGGCACACTCGGTGTGGGGGCCTGTTGCTAAACTCACAGGCAGCTTCCAAGCTGGTGATTAGACCAAGATAGTCCATGAATCAAGAGACTCAAGCTTGCTCTTAGAGAAATTACATCAGAACAAAGGTAGAGGGGTGGTCCATACTTCCAGAAGCCTTCTGAGAGAGCTAGTGGGCTGGCTGTCTTCATGACACACCTGAGCTGATTCCAGCCCCCAGCCTAGGCCTCTCAGTGTCCCAGGGGTGCCTCCCTGGGTACACAGAGGGACTCTGGCCTGCCCTTGGGGACCCCTGGTCTCTGGAAGAGGGCGTCTCTCTTGTGCAGCTCCCCAGGTCACTGGCTCATGTCTCCACTTGTGCAGAGAGAACTTTGGCTTGTTCTTGCTCAGGGGCTCTTCTGCCGTATGTGAGGTGGCCTGACCCTGTGAGCCACCTGAGAGATTCTCTACTCAGCTTCTGCTCAGGGCCCTTCACCCTGCTCACTCAAGCTGGCAGCTTGGACCAGAGTCATTCAACTCAGGGCTGCAGGCACAGGGTGGGACTGGGTAACTGTTGTGGGTTGTCTTGGCTATGAGAGGCATCCAGCAGGACCCCTGGCCTTGGATCAGGACAGCAGCTCCTGCCTACCTCCTCCAGCTGCTGCTGTTCTTGGCTGTTGCTTTGCTTCATGTCTTTTGAAAGAGCGTCTGACTTGGTTTCAGCTGGTTTTGAACCCCTGCTTCTCCTGCCTCAGCTTCCCTACTGCTACAACTACAGGCCTACACCACCACATCCAGCAGTGACTTTCTCACTAATTTTTTTTCTGATGCTGGGCATCGAATTGAGGACCTTGCACATGCTAGACAGGTGCTATGCCACTGAGCTACACCCCTAGCCCTCTTAACTATTGTGAGGCCCCAAATGCCCCTAGAATTACATGAACATAGCCTGAGAGTATAGATCTCTATCCTGGGCACACACCCGGGACCCCTGGGGTCTCTCTAGAAACTAGTTACTGCGAGTCCCTCATCCACAGCAGGAGGTAGGGACCAGGCTGCTGTGAGCTTAGGGAGTGCCAGGTTGACTCAGGGTTGTGAGGACCTTCACACATCACTTACCAGCCTTCTTGGGGGTGGGGGGGGGCGCTGTTGTGCATCCCTAGCCACTGTTGCAGTCTCCAGGGGCCAGCCCAGGGGCCTTCCTTGGCGTCTCAGCTCTGGTACACAACCTCTGTGCTGCTCTGGATGGGCACTGCCAACAGCTACCTGGAGTTGGCTCCCTTGTGAAGATTCTGGGAGAGGCTTTGGGTGTGAACTGCAGCTTCCCGGAGCCTGCGGATGCTGGTCAGGTGAGCATGGCTGGTGTCCCAACACCAGGTTCAGGTCTTGCCTGGCAGGTCATCCTTGGACAAGTGGGTGGGGTGGGGGACCCTTCCAGGCCTCACGGTCCACCCCACGGCCACGATCTTGCAGCTTCAGCTTGTACTGAAGGCCATCGGCAATGCTGGTCTGGCAGCAGCAGATCTCGCCCCTGTGCTGAGCGCCTGCGCATCCCTGAGGGGCGTCTCTCCGGAGATCCGGCTGGCGGCTCTCCAGGCCTTCCGGAGGATCCCTTGCTCTGCAGACGTGAGTCCTGGTGTTTCTCCCTCTTGCTGCAGTTGGGCTGTCAATTCACCTCTTCCTTTGAAATCATTACATGTGTGCTGAGCCGGTCCTGTGTGCTGGGTGCCTGCCTAGGTACCTGTGTGAGGACATACTTTGCCTCTGTCCTCTAGAACCTGTGTTTAGTGTGGGAAGCAGATTATTCACCAAATAAATCCACAAATAAGTATTTGATTTCTGATACTGCCATGTGGTCCAAACCCACAGGTACCGGCACTGGAAGACTCTGTGGGCCACCTCCTGGCCTGCTATCTTCTCTTGTAAATAAGACTTTATCGGTATACAGATAGCTATGGGCTATCTGTGACTACTTTGTTGCTACAACTGCTGAGCGGAATCTTGGCAAGAGAAGCTGCAAGGGCCAAGACAATTATTGTCTGTGTCATTATGGGAAAAGCTGGCCCACCTGTGTGTCACTCAGTCAATGTTAGGTCCTTACCCACGAACTGCTGAGCTCTCTGTGGTCTGGTATCTGATCTGCTAGCACATTAGCCGCATCTACGACATTCTCTCCCAGATGTCCTCAGGCCTCACGCTGTGACTGTCCCTAGAGCACTGGTGGGGAGATAGGCTGGCTGGGGTGATGGCTCAGCTAGTGAGGTGCCTGTTGCACAGGCATGGGGACCTGGCTTTCATCCCTAGCACCCACATAAGAGCTGGGCATGGTGGGCCATGCCTGTCACCCCAGCTCTGGGCAGGGGACAAAGATGGGAGAATCCATGGGGTTTGCTGGCCAGCCAGTCCAGCTGAACTGCTGACTCCAAGCTTAGTGAGAGTCCTTAAGTAAACTTATGTAAATCTTAAAGATAAGCTGAGGACTTCTGGAGAAATGACTCTGCTGCCTTCACGGGGACCTGGGTTCAGGTCCCGGCACCCACATGGTGGTTCACAGCCACCTGTAACGCTAGTTCCGGGGAATCTGGCCTCCAGGGGCTCCTGCACACACACGCTGCACATAAATTCATGCAAGGAAACACACACAAATAAAATAATAAATCAGGCAGAGAGGGGCTGGAGAGACGTCTCAGAAGTTAAGAGCACTTGTTGCTCTTGCAGAAGACCTGGGTTCAGGTCCCGGCACCCACAAGGCAGCTCACAACCATCTGTAACTCCAGTTCTAGGGGATCCAATGCCCTCCTCTGGCCGTCACAGGCACCCAACACGTATTCGGTGTACAAGCATACAAGCAGGCAAAGCACTCATACAGATACAATTAAAAAACGAGAAGGAAAGTGACCGAGACAAGGTCTTCAGTGTTGACCTGTGGCATTTAAACATGCATGCATGTGTGTACACACGATGCACATAAATTCATATAAGCAAGCACACATAAATAACATAAAAGATCTTAAAAGATAAGGTGGAGAGGAGCTGTGCAGATAACCCGGAACTTAAGGGCATTTGCTGTTCTTGCAGAAGCCCGGGTTGTGGCCCCACTACCTCTCACAGTAGGGTGCAGGGTCAACTGTAGGGACAAAGGCACTATGGGTGTGGGTGCTTAACGATGGGTATCTTCCCAAGCCAGAGGTCAGTGCTCTCTCACCTGTACCAAGCTCCCGAGGAGGACGCAGAGCTCCGAATCAATGCCTACCTGGCTCTGATGAGGTGCCCCAGTGAGGAGGTGTTTGCCCAGGTGCGGCACACACAGGCAACCGAGCGATCTACCCAGGGTGAGTAGGGCAGTATGGGGTGTTATGGAGGGGCTGTACCACGTGTCTCTTGGGGTGGGGCAGTGTGGTTAGGAGTCCCCTCACCCTCTATGTCTTTAGTTGAACTGGACAACTGACCAGTGTGTTCCCCCTGCCACGGCAACTCCAGCCCATGGATAACAGGGAAAAGTCCTTTCTCTCAGGTCCTCAGCTCCCTTGAGCCTCACCAGGGTCTGCTCACTCTGGCCGGATCACAGCAGTTCTGTACAGTCACCCAGGGCCAGCCTGGTCTACGGGAGACCCTGATATGAGAAAGAGAGATTTAAAGTTCCCTTTAAATGAGGGAACTCTGAACTTGGGGTGTGAATATAAAAGATAAATTTTGCTGACTAAACAAAAACACAAACCCAGCAACAACTGGCCAGATACGATGGTGCACATCTGTAATTCTTGCACTAGAGGTAATGAGGTAGAAGAATCATGAGTTCCAGGCCCTGTCTCCAAAGAACAAAGGCTGGTCTGGGGCTGGTCTGGGGCTGGGGTGAAGATGGGGGGCGGTCTGGGTCTGGGGTAGGGTGGGGTGGGCTGGGGCGGGGCTGGGGCAGGGCTGGGGTGGGGTGGGCTGAGGCTGGGGTGGGCTGGGGTTCAGTGGTAGACCACTTGCCTAACATATGAAAGGCCTGGCCTTCATCCTGCACTGAAATTAAAATTTAAAAACAATTTAAAAATGTATGCAGTGCATAGCATGTTAACATCTGGGGTCCAACCCCAGCACAACTCTTCCTTGCCTGTGTGTCCCAGGAGAGGGACACATTGCTGTGAGCCTTTGATTCTGTCTGTGAAATGGGGAGAGCATGTGCCTCAGGGTATGCTGAGGGGGACGTGAGGATGTGGGTGGTGTGAGAGGACAGCCCTTCTTCCATTCTCTCTGCAGCTGCATTTGAAAGGGCAGGGCAGGAAGATGAATGAGTGGGTGGACAGTGAAGGCCTTCTCCCCAACCCAGGACCGTATTCCCTGAGAGCAGCTTTCTGGGGTGGCATCAAAACCTCAACACAGCACTAGAGAGTTTGCCTGGGAGATGTGAGGCCTTGGGTTCTGTCCCCAGCACTTCAGTCAAATAACCCGCCAGCCAATCACAAACATCTTTGTAACACAGGGACAAGCCCACGCAAATAGCACGGATGTGCACCCTCATCTGTTTTACCTGTCTCCACCGAGGGGTGGAGGCCGTTTCCAGTTTTGAGCCGTTAGCACCAATAACCCAGTGACCTGCCCGCACATCTGCCTAAGGTGATTTGACGTTTTCCTGAGACTAAACCACCTATGCAAGTGGTGTGTTCATTTCAAGTAAATGCAGGGCCAGGGATACAGTTCAGTGACAGGGCTCTCGCCTTCACATAGAATGCGGCCTTTGGCTCCGTCTTCCACACCGCAAAACTAAACGAAACAACAACCCAGTCCCATGTTCCAATGACCTTCTGTGGAAGTAGGGTCACTGGAAGATGTAGCCTAGTCTCAGGCTTGGGGATGAGGAAGGGGGTGATGTAGGGGCTTTGTCTTGAGTCATAGTAATCAGCCTGCTAAGCTTCCAAGGGATCAGCCAGGGGCTGTAGATACCAGGCTGTATGCTGGCCAGTGAGATAAATGGGTGCCCTGCCCCCCAAAGTCAGCCCTATCCCAAGGCCAGATGTTTGAGAAGCTTCCAGCTGTGCCTTCTGGGACATTATCTTATGCTAGGGTCCCCATTGGGCGATATCCCATACTGACACACCCATTTCATCCTGCCTCTGCAGGACCCTGGTGGGGTCTCCATCATGGACCACACATCACCCCTTTGTCTGCTCTGAGATATTAGACTCTCAGGTTCTGGCTCTGGCCTTGACTGACCTTTGCCAACAGCCCCTTGAGAAATGTTACTTCATTTCACAGATGAGGAAGCTGAGGCTCAGAGAGCTAGTGTGAGCATCTCCAATGCACTTTAGAGTAATAGAAGTAAGGCCTGGGGGTGGCTCAGCCAGTCAAGTGCCTGCTGAGTAAGTGTGAGGACCTGGCTTCATTCTCCAGAGCCCATGCATCCAGGGCACGTGGGCACACTCTGTACCCCAGTGCTGTGGAGGGGCACAGGTGGATCTCTCAAGCACACTGGCTGGCTAGCCCAGCAGAATCAGCAAGCTCCCGAGAAAAGTAAGAAACCTTGTCCCCAAACAAATGGATAGCGCCCAAGAAACATCTGCAGCTGTACCCTGATCTCTACACACATGCACATACATGTATACCTGCGTACACATAAGGCTTTAAAAGGCTCTGGGTTGAACGAGAATTTGAAATGCAGCCCAGAATCCCCACTTCACAGATGAGGTACAGAGAGGTGGTGGCACTATCTTGAGGTAACACAGCTTGTATCTGTGGAGCTGAACTGGGGTTCAGATGTGGGTCTGACTTCCAAGCCAAGGCGTCCCACTTCATACTTTTCCTTTACCTTCAGGAAAACTTGTTAGAATTTCGTACACAGGCCGGGTCCTACTCCTGTTAGCTTCAGGCTGCAGGGTCCTGAGCAGGCCTGGCATGGGGGTGTGGCAGGCCGGGGCTGAGTCCGAGAGTCTTGGCCAGTGGCTAACTGTGTCTGTTGCTGCCGCTCTGCCCCAGTGGGCTCCTTTGTGTGGAGCCACATCCTGCAGCTGCTGGAGACGGATGATCCCCTGAAACGTGACCTTCGGGACTCCCTCCCTGAGGACATCCTCAGTCAGCCGTTCCAGACGGAGACCTGGAAACACTCCACCTATTCTGATGTCACCTTCCGCTCAAGTACGGCTCACCTGGGGCCACAAGGCCTGGGGACCCAGAGCTCCAATCTCCAAGAACACAGGGCCTAATGGCACTCTTTCCCTCACCTGGGTGACATAGAGCGCGTCCAGGGCCAGCCTGGACAGCTTAGTGAGACCCCGACTCAAAAAGTAGAGGCTTGAGCGTCGTGGGAGCGCAAACCCTGCTGCACAGGGCGGGGTTAGGTCTCCATACGGGCAGTCGGGGAGGCCACAGAAGTCTTTCCAGCTGAGGTCCCTGCACCACCTCAGCCATCCTGGGAAGTGGAGGGTGTGGAGGGGTGCTCTGGCTTCCCCATCAGCCTTCACTGGGTGGAGAAGGCGATGGAGAACCCTCTCCTGGGGCAGGACACACTGTGGGTGTAGCCTCTCTTTCTAGCTCCCAGGATCCTCTTTTCCCTTAGCATCTGGCAGCCTGGGAGGCAACCTGGAGAGGACCCTCCTCTTCTCCTCCGGCTCTTTCCTCCCTTGTTCTGCCGTGGTAAACCTCACTGTCCATGCTGCTGGCCGGGCCTTCAACCTGCTGGAGGTAAGAGTGTTACGCTTGCCATCTCCCTAGGGCCTGTCCTGGAGGCAGAGTAAGGAGTGATCCCATCTGTCCATCCGTCTGTCCACCTGTCCCTCACTTCTGTTGTTCTATATTCCATCTATCATTTTGTCCATCTAACCTGCCCATGGATAACAGCCATACATCTGTCCACACTGTTATCTAAGCATCTTTCTATCCAGCTCACCCCTTTCATTATCCACCCTCTCACTCATCCCTCTTCATCCATCATCCACCCACCCATCCATCCATCCATCCATCCATCCATCCATCCATCCACCCACCCACCCACCCATCCATCCATCCATCCA